CATGTGAGCACGTCTTCGAACGGATTCTCGATCAACGACAAGCCGTCGCTCGTCTCGTACTGCCACACGCTCGAAGGCGACGACCTCGCTCAGCACGAAGCCGACATGAAGACGCTCGCGGCCGAGTGCGGTCGTGGCACCGTCTGCACCGGCGACGTCTGCACGGTGCAGGACGAACCGAGTGTCGTCTTCTTCACGGTCAAGACCGCCGGTGGCCTCGGCGACCGCGTCCGGGACATTGCCGGTGTCAAGGACGACGACGTCACTGGTCCGTACGCGATCCTCCTCGACGTTCGCGGCGGCAGTGCGTATGTGCACGACGGCTTGAACGTCGACGCGCTCCGAAAGACGCTCCAGCAGTTCCAGGACAAGGCCCTCGACATGAAGGCGCTCTCTTTCTAATGGAAGCCACAGGTGCTGGCTGTATAGTGCATTGCTTGTGATTGGATATGTAGTAATGGACAAGTTGTCTGTCTTTCTTTTGGCGGTTTCGTAACTGTCATATTGGCACTCAGTAGTGGTTATGACCTAGTGGTCTAACTACACACTCGAAATGTATTCATGCGGTCGATAACTGGCTTGCGTACGTCAATATAAGCTGTCTTCATGCTGGAGTTGAAGTACTGTACCTCGTCGTATGCATTCTTCAAGGTGCACTGATGCCGTCAACGACGCTGGTTCACCTCGCGTGGAGCTTGTTTGGAGGACGTGAGCTGGGCCAGTTCATGGCGCATGGCCGCAATGTCGGACGCCATCCCATTAGCGTTGGTCTGAAGTTCTTCTCCATGATGCATATCCAGCCCCATGATCGCTTTCAAAGTGGCAAAGTTGTCTTGCGAGTGGCGTGCTTCCAGAGCGAGCAAGTGCTGCTCCAGCGCCGAGATCTGCGAAAGCATGTCGTCGTTCATGTCCTTCAAGGCCGTTCGGACGATATTGTCGTCGAGAAGTTTGGCCAACGTGATCTCAAGCGCACTTGTTTTCTGCTGCGACGCCAGTGTCGCTGCGCGTAGCTCCCCTTCGAGGCTCGAAACGCGTGCTGCCAGCGCCGTCGTCTCTGCGTGGTCGCGGCGCAGCTTGGCCACCTCGACGTTTTGCGCGGCCATGTCTTCCACTGCCTTTGCGTACAGTGTACGCTCAAGCTGATACCGGCGCTGCGCACCGTCGCGTTCGCGCTCGAGCACTCGGCGGGCAGCCTCCGAGTCGAGCAACCGCTGCGCCAACTGCTTCTGCGCGGTTGTGTGGGCGCTCTCGGCCTCAAAGAACTTGGTATGGGCCGTGGACAGGAGCTCTTTGTAGGCAGCGAGAAGGTACTTTGATGAGATGGCGGGTGTACCACCACGGGTCGCTGCAGTCGTCGTCGTCGAGGAGCTAGTGGGCATTGGAGAACAAAAGTAGTTGTGACATGGGAGGCGCGCACCATCGTTGGACAGGTCAATATGCTGATTGTTTCGTGAACGCAGCCCGACAGGACAGTTGAAGTGCGGCTCGTCTATTGAGATCACTGCCCTCCGGAAGTGACAGCTGTGGATTCCGGCGGTGACATTGAAAAGGCAATGGCAACGAGCCTCCAAGCTTGGCCTGCGTGCTACACAAGCAACGTAAACAAGAGAACGATCGCAAAGTCTTGTTTCCCGATCACGAAACTTCCACCACACGAGCTGCACTGCCCGCCCACCCACGTCCTTGGCGTTAGTGAGCGTATCCCAATGATATACTAGCATGTTTGTGGAGCTGCATCGCACAACAAGACGAGGCTGTCAAACGGCGCGCTATGTTCTCTATCAACTTGATAGATCGAAACAACGCAATCACGTAACCCGAATATCTCTTGCATTCACAACAGACTCAATATAAACCCTACATACGACGTCCTTCTTCTTCATCTTCTACTCTGCTGTTGTCGAAACGACGGGCGCCGCGGGTGTCGCCGCCGCCGCCGTCGTCTCCTGCGCCTTCTTCTGCTTCATGAGCTTGAGCGTCTCAATCGTCGGACGGTCCCACTGCGTGAGCTCGAGCGACTTGTTGACGTAGTACACCTTGCCGTTGTTGCGCGAGACCTTGGCTTCCCAGCCCATCGGCAGCGGCGCCTCCGGGAGCGAGTCCTGGTTAAACGACTCCTACGGCGGCAAGTTGCTCGTAACGACGCGGGCCTTGCTCTCGACGCGGTTGAGCCCTGGCCGCGACGTGCCGTTGGTGACCGTCTTGCCGTTGGTCGCCGTCGTCGCTGATTTGCCCTTGTTGCCGTAGAAGCTCTTGAAAACTGACGGGATACTCATGCCGCCCTTGGCGATCGTGTTCTTGAGCTTGGCGTTCTCGGCTTCGAGTGCTTTAATCTTCTTGTGCGCGACCTTGAGCGCCTTCTGCTTCTGCTTGAGCTTGGCGATCGTGTTGGCCACTGCAAGCTCCTAGTCGAGCATGAGCTTCTCGAGCTCCGACTTGAGCGATGCGAGACTCGACTTTTTGGCATCCGCTTGCTGCTGCAAAGCCAGTACCGCATCACGTAGCTCCGCTTCAAGGCTCGCAACGCGCGCTGCGAGCGTCGTATTGTCCTCCTGGTGGGGACGTAGCTTGGCCAACTCGACGTCTTGAGCTGCAGTCTTTTGCAAGGCCTCTGTGTACAGGACCTGGAACAGGTGCTGAGTAATGTCACGCTCTAGCTCGAGCTCTCGGTGGGCGGTTTCCGAGACTTGCGAGCACTGTGCCGACAGCTGCTGCGCGGTTCGGTGGGTACTCTCGGCCTTGTCCAGCGCTGCATGGGCTGATTGCAGGAGCTGATTGCAGGCGACGAGAAGGTCCATTGTCGAGACAGTGGGTGCACCGTCACTGGTCGCTTCGGTTGTCGTCGAGCATCGAATATACATGGCAGAACGAATCGAGTTGTGACGTTGGAAGCTCGTGCCATCGTACGACAGGTCAACATGATGGTAACCAAGCTCACTGGAAGGCACCTGTAGACAGGACAAACGAAGTGCGGATCGTCCATCGAGCATT